ATTATAGATTATAGATTATTATTAGACAGTTAGAGCTCTTAGCAGAGCTGTAATATATGATTGCAGATAAACCTAGATGACCAAGCTGCGTTGGAGGTATTACATCGCCTGTTTGAGGTGGTGGCGCCATCTGTGTTCAGGCCTGTGGACATATTGCTCAACACTCTGCTTGTACCACCGAAGCCACTGACTACTGTACAGCGAGTGCAGCGTTGGATGTGCCTTGCCCTGGCTATATTGAGAGTGCTGATCTATCAGGTGTGTGATACTGTTGCTAAAGTTACTGTAATGTTCTTATTGTTTGTTGATTGATGATATCAAACCATAATTGAACTCCGAATATTATAACACCTCGTTTCTGTCCAATCCATTCCCGCTGCTCCTTTATTTCTTATTCCCGGATGTCCGCTCACGCATGCGTCACATTGCACACATAGAGTCAGCATCGATACAAAACGTAAACACTAGGGCTGGACATCACAGTTACGTCAAAGCGTGATTTGCTTGTCATGTTACGTTGCTGCTTGGCCTTAGCAGAAATATTGATAATATTTACCCATGTACCTTTAATTTTTTTCAGTGTCTTTAATCAGTCTTTTATCATTTTAAATTCATCTCAAATTTCAGATTTTGGTGATTTCATTGTTGCTTGGACTGCTGTTGTTACTTGTTTCCTATATTTTATGTTATATAACCACTTATATTCTACTAACATAGTTGTCTTATTTTTCTGCAGGCTAAAGAAGAGGTAGTTTTGTCACGGTTGCGTGAACTAGGCCTCTACGTAACTATTTACACGGATACACAGGGACCGAGTGAATCGCTATCAGAGGAAGAAACACTAGCCAGGCAATGATGGTTCCAATCATAACCCTGAACTCTGTTTAGTCAAAAAACTCGTCAACTGTGCTAGATGATTCACCAGTTAGTTAACTTGAATTCCTAATATAATATAATTTAATTATGAAATAAATTCATGATGGTAACTTACACTGCAATTTTAAAGGAAATCATTGTAATTATGTTACGTTATATTATACCATAAAATACGACGACACCGTTCTAAGATTTGAATAGCTGATGTTGTCAGTGCTGCTTGCTGCGTCTTAATGCTAACGTTATCAGACTGTAGGAGGCACCAGTTCCCATACCTGTCTTCTGCTGTTAGGTATTGTTTAGTTTAGCTTGCAGAAATTAACCTTGCCTTCATGGCTTCCCGTACCCGCAGGTTTCTACTGCAGGTTGTTGGCATGGTGTCGAGGGAAATCTGCAGCAAGACTGGGATTCCTGCTTCCACTCAGCCCGAAGACTGCACGTTTCTCTGCCACCAACTCTCCCAGCTGCTTCTCTACATCATGCACATGTTCCAGTCCGGTACGAAAACACACTTACATACCGAACCTATATTACTCTTACTATACTAGCTCTTGTATTCTCCCCCCGGTATTGGGAACCAACTTGGAACTGACAGTGCATCAGCTTTCGTCTGCATAGCGGGAAAAATTTAAAAAGTGGTGATGCAATCAGGAGTAAGATAATATAGGATAAGATAATATAAGATAATATAAGATAATATCCTATATTATCTTACTCCTGATGCAATCACTGTGATATACTTATGGTTCAATTATGACCACAAGCTGTGCTGATGTGTGTGGTAACTGAAACGCATTCCACAGTGCACGCACACTTTGGCACACATCTGGCAATCTTGCTAATACGTAGGTGGACCTTGCACAGGGATTTACAGGCGAGTGGCGACGGCTGCTATGTCTATGATCGTCGAGGAACCTCCGGCCTGCTTCTACAGCGTCAGGCAGATCAACGGCTACTTCCACGCACTGCGCATGACGCAGCCGACGCTGCTGCTGCAGTGGTGCAACATACTCACGCTGCTGAACTACGATGACCAGTCGTGGTGGAGTGAACTGATGCAGACGCATAGGCCTTCAGCCACGCAGCAGCAGATGTGAGTGCGTTTGGGGACGTATTTACTTAAGGATACTCTCAAGGTTTTTGGAAAAATGTAACCGATTTTTTATTTTCAACTTTATTCGATGGCTAACACTATGTGCCACCTGTGTACGTGTTCATTTCTCCATATAACGGTACATGTGAACTGTCAGAGCGTTTTGCTTGGCCGCGTACATGTGTAGTAAGCCGCGGCTGACGTCATGATGACGTCAGACACATGATACAACCAGGATTTTCACGATATTCACTGAGCCAGTATCTATCAACATCAGGAGTAGATAATAGGGAATTCCCTATTATCTACTCCTGATCAACATCAACTACTCCTGAT